GGGGGGGGGGGGGGGGGGGGTGGAGCAGAGTTCCTGTCAGCTTCCACTTCTGAGGTTGATAATGTAACATACCTGTTTTTAATATTATTTCGATTTCGTATTATCTTAGGTAAAGGATTTGGAGATCAATCAAAATTTGCGTACCCTGGTAAACAAGACGGTTACGAAAAGGTCGTCCTGCTGCTGGTTCCTCTGTTGGGTCAGCTTTTAGGATATCTTTGGGCTGTGTGTCTGCGGAACACAGTTGAGAGTGTGCTGTTCCTGTTCAGTGGGGTCGTTGTCCTTCTGGCCGCAGTCCTCACCACCACCGTGGCGATCCCTATGGACAACATCACTACGTGTATTTGGGCATCTGTCTGTTTTGGTATCCTTGGTGTCGCTAATGGTGAGTAAAACCACAAGAAATCATGGAGATTTATATTCAGTCGAGTGAGTTGGATTTCAAACAAGAATTGATTTTAGCGAATATATATATATATTTACTAATCACGAGATTGTACAAAATGTTAGGACATCAGGCTAGACCTATTGAATTCTTTTCCTTTATTGACAAACATTACATAAATACTGTCATAACAATCATAATTAAAAGTGTAGGGGACATAACTGGAATCATTGTCCGTTTCTGTTTTGGATATTAACAAATATATCATGTTTATTTTTTGACAAACCATACCACATAACATACGTTACCAAGAAATACTATTTTGTAACATTTCAGAATATGATATGCATTGGTAATTGGAGTTGTACCAACAATAATCTAAATTAAAGAGATCAATCAGCTCCTACACAGAAATATTCAAAGTAAAAATATCAAAAAACACATCATAATTGACGAGATTTTTACTGCTTATATTTATACTTTGGAAATAGAAAACTTAATATGTTTGTATTTTATCTGTCACAGGACTTGTTTCCATGTCAACACAGAAAGTCCTACCTGACATTTTCGGGAAGCAGAATACTCGCTTTGTTGCTGGTATGGTGGCGTGCATGATATCCCTTCCCAGGCTGGTAGAGTCACTTTATACAGGTAAGTTTACAGGTGTGTATGTACTGATGTGTATGTGTGTAAGAATATTCAATACTGTCAAAAGTTCTGAGGAAAAGTTTGATATTGATCAGTGACGTTTTGTAGAAAAAGAAGGATATATATTATTTCCGACCGGTAAACGGCGATAGCCAATTTGAATCATGTGTTACAGCAAATATGATAGCACATGCGACTAAAATGTGCATTTGGATTAATATAGTAGTAATGCTTCACACACTGATGATTGACACTCTAACCAATCGTCAACCAGATACAAACATACAAACAATTGTTCTACGTCAACACACCCAGCAATGGTCTACGTCAGCACACCAATCAATGGTCTACGTCAGCACACCAACCAATGGTCTACGTCAGCACACCAATCAATGGTCTACGTCAACACACAAAGCAATGGTCTTCGTCAACACACCAATCAATGGTCTACGTCAGCACACCAAGCAATGGTCTACGTCACCACACCAATCAATGGTCTACGTCAACACACCAATCAATGGTCTGCGTCAGCACACCAATCAATGGTCTACGTCACCACACCAATCAATGGTCTACGTCAACACACCAATCAATGGTGTACGTCAACACACCAAGCACTGGTCTACGTCAACACACCAAACAATGGTCTACGTCAACACACCAAGCGATGGTCTACGTCAACACACCAAGCATTGGTCTACGTCAACACACCCAGCAATGGTCTACGTCAACACACCAAGCAATGGTCTACGTCAACACACCAAGCAATGGTCTACGTCAACACACCAAGCAATG